GTTTTAAGTAATATGCATTAATAAACAGTACTTTACGTATAAAAAGTAGCTTTTAAGAGTTTTTGTCAAATGCTTTATAATATAATATAGATTATTATTTTTAATTTAATTTAAGTTTAATAATGAAATAATTTATTTTTGGTTTAATAATATAACATTTTATAAATATAATAATTAAGTATTTTGTTAGAACTCAATGATTATCCTAATTATATTTTAGATTTTTTATATTTAAAATGAGATGTTTATCCTGTATTTGATTGTGTTTATCTGTAGTTAGTTATACGAATTCAGTTATGGGATGAAATCTGATAGAGATGAAATCGTTTAGGGATGTACGGGTTTAAGAGTTTTTAAGAGTTTTAGTCAAATGTTTTATAATATAGTATAGATATATATATATATATATATATATATATATATATATGTAATTATAAAGTAGCGATCAAATGCAAACTACCTTATTTGTACAAATTATCCTTATCCGTCGATTTCATTGTTTAACTTAATGAAATTGTTTCATATAATTTTTTTCTTGATAAAATTGTTTCATATACGGTTGTTTCAACGTTTTAATAAAACTATTTCATGTATTTATTTAAAACTAATATAATGAAGTGATAATATCCATAATTAACATCATTCACAATAAAAATGATTAATTAACCTGTCATAATTACAAAAAAAGTGAAAAAAAAGGAAACTTATGATTAGTTTAACAAGGTTTGCACGATTTATACAAATGACTTAGTTTGCAAAGTAAACCACCCCTATAATTGTATATGATATAAATATTTGTCGTCATACGTCACATCTTGAGAAACATCGTGGTCTTACCATATCGTTAGGCTCAAGGATTAACCTTGCCGGCAGATCATGTCTCACGCCATTTAAAACCTGGATTTTTTTTTTGTTACAATAAATAGGATCTAAAATCTGTTATGTTTATAAACCTATTTATTTATAAATCAAAGCACTATTTTATTTGTTTTTTAAAACCATAAAAACATATAAATAAATAAATAAAAAGAAGCATAAAAAACTTATTGTTAGATTTACAAAATTATAAAAATTAATGTTGTTATTAGTGACTTTAATTTTAATTAAAAATACTTTTAAACAATATTGAGGGAGAAGGTCAATTTTGTCATTTTAGTTAGGCCGTTTCATTTGATTTTTGGGCCATTTGGACTCCCGCTCTGGTGTTTTCAAAAATCCAAGGGAAGAAAATAATAATAATTAATAAATGGGAAATTTGAGCTTCTATGCTTTAAGTACCCTCACATGCCAAAACTATGCTTCAAATTTCAACTATTACAAAATCATGCCCATTATATGGTTGACTCCCTCATTGCTACGCAATAAGTGTTCGGCGGTAAAAAAAAAAAACAAATACTTCAACTTAATTTACCGGGTAAGATTATAGTCCATGAAAACAGTATCACATACAACAATTTACTCGATAAACACTTACCGAGTATGAATGGTCACCCTCCTTTACTAGGTAAGATCCTTCATTATCATCATTGTTTTTGTCAGGTAAGGTTCTCGACCCTTGCCAAGTTCATCCAGTAAGATAAATGAACCTGTAAATTCTTACCCAGATAAGCGTTTAATTAATGGTACTCATGGGTTGGGTTGATCGAGTTCAAAACATTTGAACAACCCAATGTTTGCGGTTTGAAAAATCTTAACCCAACCCAACTCAACCAACCCAAAGTGTAACCCAACCCAACCAACTTGTATTGGTTGGGTTGATATTTTGATACATTAAAATATTCTTTTAACCTTGAATATATTATTTCTCTACTCATAATTTATCTTTTTATCATCAACCATTTGATACAACTTATTCATACTTCTTAAATCTTATGCATATCACATTCAATTAATTTTTAAATTTACGTATATATGTTCACAGTTACTGAACATATATACGAATGAGTTATATAGAGATAGAGAATAGATAGAAAAATGTGCATATGAAAAGGGTACGTGATAGTGTAATTGTCTAATATATATGTTAATGAAAACTTAACAATCATATTAAATCCAAGAATTACAAGGATATCGGTCGGGTTCATCGTGTTTGTTTGAGTTCAAATAATAATATCTCAATTTCAACCCAATATCAAGGGTCTGAAAATTATACAACATGATTAGAAATCGGGTTGTTTCGAATTGAGTTATTTCGTGTTAGGTCGAGTTGATCAGATTTTTAAGCACTGCTACGGAACCTTTGTTTTCATCATCTCTCAGTTGAAGTATGAATCATAATGAGCCATTTTGTTGAGATCGCTCTAGTCTATGATGTCAAAAGGGGTCCGCGATTGCTGTTTATGACAACAATGGTACAAAGAATACAAGTAACTTTTTGCATCGTTTTGTTTAATTTATATATATGTGTATATGGTTTTTTTCAATTCAAATATGCTTCTGTTCACATGTTTCTTGTAATAATGTTCGATTGATAGAATTTCGTTATGCTCAATACTAGATTGATAAATTAAGGGATTTGTTTGATTCAAGTCGGGAACTGGAAATAAGAATGACAGAGAATGAAAATGGGAATAGCTTTAACGGTCTAGCAAACATATCAATGTTTAACCGTTAATTTTAACGGTCTAGCAAACGTATCAATGTTTAACCGTTGCCCATATCATGTTTATGTTATAGGTCAAGGTGATCAATTCAGGAAGTAACGCATTTTTTTGTCCAACCGGCTTATATAATAAAACCAAACCCCTTTTTACCAGGCTTAAGAACTAACTCTCACCTGTTGTATGTAAAATCATTCAAGATACATAATTTTATTCCCAACTTGAAAAAAGACGGAAAATATACCAATATAAGAAATAAAATAGTTTCAAAAATACTGAGGATACCTTCAGAGTCTGGATTCTTCATCAACAAAATATTTATCCACCTAATATTTCATGAGGAATCTGAACATATTATATGACATATCAAATATAATATATATTTGGGAGACACTTGGTACTCAATATGGGAGTCAAGCCCAAAACCACTTTTAAAATATAAATTAATTAAAAAAATTAATTATTTATGTCCGAATCTTTTCTTATCTTTCGAGCCGGCCCATTAATTTTAACGGTCTAGCTCATGCCCGGAACTGAAAACTGCCTAATTTCACAAAGTTTGGTGCTTTTATGCATCACAAATTTATTGATTTATGATCACTTCAAACCCCAGATGTTGAAATCATCAGTTAAGGAAGTAGACGGAAACAGGCACATAATCGGCGTTATACAAAACATATACAAACCAAACAACTCACCCGTTACAATGGAAGTTGTCTGCACGTCGGACAATACCACTTCCCCTTGAACCTCGTCTCGGGTGTCAGCCCGACGCACGAGTAATGAAACCACTCGCCACCTTGACACTGTAAAAAGGAACACGATAAGAAACCAATCCTTATTTAGTGTATTAATTTCAACCTCCAATCACATCTTTATCCCTTCTTAAGCCAAATAGATAGGACCCACAAGATAAAAATTAAAAAACTGAACAGTTTATTCAGCTCGAGAGCAGGGTCTAGAGGTGGGATGTACGCGGACCTGACCACTACCCCAAAAAGTAGAGCGGTTATTTACCTGAAGACCCCTGCTTGGTGCAAAAGTATGAGCAAAATGGAAGGAAAAAGAACATTAAATGATGAAAACAGTAATATGATGAAACAAGCATCTCCAAGATTATGCTGTGTTGCATTTCAGATGGAATTATCTTGCCAGCAAGTTCATAGCAATTGAATATTGTTACCATCATGGTATTGATGTACGCCTAGAGGCGAGGCAGCCCAAAACAGCACCTAGGGTGGCGCCTCTTGGACCCTGGACGAGGCTTACGCCTTGGTTCAATGAAGCGATTCAGGGAGGCGTGACGCGCTGTCAAGGCCTACCCCTCAGATGATATGCTTTAGTAATGTTTTTTTTGGCTTTTTTATAAGCTTTATGGCATTAGTAGTACTTTCTCTTTATGATGTGTCTTTTTTTATTTTAAAAAACTAAAAGTCAAAGCCGACCGGCCCCAATGTGTACTTTTAATATTTTAAAACCCAAAAGCTAGTACTTTCTTCTCTCAACCAAAAAGTGTGGTTTGACCCTTCCTCATCCTCCAAACAACCAATTTTTCCACACCCTCTCAGCAAATCTCTAGTTTCACTTGTTCCTCTGTCAAGAATCACCGACTAGCGCCTCTTAGTAATTTAGTATTATATATATCGTATATAAATCTATATATATTTGTGTAGTATATATACATATTTTGATGTATATATATATTTCCGCCTCGGGCCACCTCAAGGCTTACGCCTCTCCTCATTGAGGGAAAACGCCTAAGTCCCGATTCCGTCTTTTAAAACCTTGGTTACCATCTTAACTGATGAACTCAATTAAGAAAGTCTGACCATATAAATATGAAACAAAGGGAGAGATAACAGCAACTTACATTTTCATTGTCACAGGCAATCATATCACCAAAAGAAACCTGGAAAAAAAAAGATGATGTTCTCGATCATTTTACTAGAAAACATGGAATACATCATTTTAATTTCTTTATAGATGGCAAAAGTCGAATAGAACTCGAAACCTGATGACAGACGCAATAGGTGGGTTCATTTGGATCAATTGGTTGATCCATCTCCAAGGGGGTGGGATAATCCTTTTTGAAGCCACCTGGTGGAGGCATGAGCTCGAAATCCCTATCCCTGTGATCCCACTCTCTATCCCTGTAATCAATCTTCTTAGATTGAGGTGTTATATATATCGGTTTGCGCTTCTCGGTTTTAGGAACTAAAGGTAACGGAGGAAGTATTGCTGGTTCATCTGCTGGTAATTTTCCCTCTGCAAATGATAAAAGCAATATTTTTTTAATTAGCGAGTTAGCAACTCTATAGCAGACATATCTAAGAATTGATTCCGATAAATACCACTACGACCCACACTAATGAATCATAACTATTTTGATTTACATATAACTGAATACCGTAAGCTACAAAAACTACCGGCTTGTTTCAAAGAAACGAGATATAACTTGAAGTTTGACGCCAAAATGAAACATAGCTTTAAATTAAAAAATGGTACATGAAGAGTTCTTTTTACTACATCAGGAACGGTATACTGATTCTGAAATTCAACTAAACTTCGATTTTGAAACGGCTATGAGCTTTCGAAGAAAATCTTTTAGCTTCCTCAAACTTTATAAGTAAATAAACAGTATAACATAGATATGTTTATTGTTTAGGGAGAAAAGCTTTTATATGCAGAGCTCCTTGGATTTTGCAAGCAGAATGTTCCAATAACTCGAACATGTGACCTTCTGGTCATGTTGGAGTACCTTACTGTTTGCTTCATGGCTCACAATCACAAGTCAAAGTGCATTTTATACCCTGAGGGTTAACAAGTTATTTAGTAAGCTGGGTAATAGAAGTACAAGTGGCTAATGCTTAGCTAGTACAAGTATGCATGAAAGGTTTTATTGAGTCTCGCCGTTACTAGTATAAATAGGGGGTAGGGGTTTGAGGAGAGGCATTCTGTTTTGTTATTTCATTGGCGTGTGCCTTGGGAGATCCGCAGCCTCTTGAAAGCTGATTTCCTTTCTTGTAATCATAAATTTTGCTAGTAGTAAATCATATGAAACTCTACAATTCGGCCAATTTGAGCATTGGAGTACATCAGTGTATCATCTGTTTTGTAGCGAACAGAGTAACTATATACTCCCTTCGTCCCACAAAAATGTAAAATATTCCATTTTGGGTTGTCTCCGAAAATGCAACATTTCTTTTTTGGGAACTTGTCAATCCTGTTTTTACTTTTCACCAACTAATAATCATTACTTGAAATTAACCACTTCCATTTTGATCCACAAGCTTTTTTTTGGGGGGGGGGGGGGGGGGGGTTGGGATAGAGGGAGTAATTAAAAGTAAATCTCATCACACCTTGCTTCAAATCCTCAGCAAAATTGTGCAGATCCTCATCAAGACGTTTTACATGACTGTCTATCTGAAAGTAAGTTGGATTGAACATAAGAGGCAAAACAATCTCAAGGACAAGGATAGTGGAAGGTAACACACACAATATAACCAATAGAATATAGAGCACATAATATATTCCCATATGATGGTACTTCTCTATGATTTTTTATCACAATAGTCTAATTTTCAAGAAGTTGGGGATATGGTCAAATACACAACCTCACACACTTCTGCAGCACTAGAAAAATTTGGCAAGGGGTAACTTAAAAGGCAGCCCTACTTTCTGGGCTATTGCCAGAAAGATAATTACCAGGAGATTCAACATTGGTTCAGAAAGAAACCAAGATTATATTGCCAACTGAAGCCTTGTTAAGATCTAACATTCTTCCAACTCCACAGTATGCGACAGACTAAGAGCTTGTTTGTTAGCAGCTTAATAAGCTTAATGAAATTCACAACTTTTTCGGTCAACTATACATGACTATTTGGTAGTGACTTAATGATATAAAAAGTGACTTATTCAGTAAGCTTCTAAGGGGAGCTTTATGCATAAAGCGAAGTTTTTTTTTTTCCAAATCTGTACCTCCTGATTAAAAAACAGGCTCCTTCCATCTATAAAAAACCCTCCCAAGCAAAAACCTTCTCAATCCATACAAACAAATTAATCGACACAGACAGCTTTATCCATACACAGCTTAATGGAAAACCAACCAAACAGCCCCTAAGCGTCATGAATTGGTGCATGAGTAACAAATTCGTGCAATATGATTTAAAGCAGTGAACTGAGTGCCGATTGAAACCAATGCTTCTTTTCTAACAAGTTCCATAAATTGAAATAGCATATAGTTACTAAGTAGTCAATTTGGAAGGGAACTACATTCAGAGAGAATAACTTAAAAGAACACGTAAATCACAAGACAACAGCAAAAATTGTAATCATCTACAAAGCTAAGAAAGTAAAAACTCACAAGATCGTAAGCTTGCCGTGCCAGCAGGACCTTCTCGGTACATAAGCTTAAGGCGTTATCTTGGTTTGCTTCAATATCTTTCTTCATCTTCTCAAAGGCCATGTCACCATCTTCATGATTGCCTTTATTGGAGTTTTGAGAAGCCATATCCAAGCAGTTCTTCGTCTGCTGCCTTGTCTGATTTATCATGGCTTTAACACAAAAAAGAACACCCTTGATCAACTCAATTAACAATTAATATTCCTTTTCTCTCTAAACAAAGATACACTTTTTATATTGAAAACCTAATGCATTAAATTTCCAATTTTGAGTACAAAGTTCTTCACAATTCCCAAATAGTCCTTAATGTTTGACTATCAGCACTATCATCTCAGCATCAGAACTCAATTTACACAACTGGTATGGTGTACATGGAAAATGGAATTTGCCTATTCATTGCAAGTGATGTAAAGGGAGTAAAGCAATTGATAGTTCTGATAAATTAATCTCCTTCTACATTCCGTTATCACTATCAGATCAGTGTTACGTAAAAAATCCCAAACTTTCATCATGCCCTCATTTCCCTTCATATCACACTCACAAACACAAACGTGTGTGTGTATTGTGCATAATAAACATTGTGTGTGTATCACTATGAAAGAAGATGAACATATACATTGGGAACGTTCATCGAGTTCTCTTATGGTATTCAGAAGCCTCTGCAACTCTGCCGGCAATGTGCTTGCGTCTATGACAAAATTCAGCACAAAAAACCAACCGGATTAGAATAAATTTTACAATTTGAAATTCGATGAATATATCATGCAAAATAAAGCTTACACTCCAAGTAATCGTCGACGAAAACTCCGGTTCTCGCGATCGCCATAGTCGTAAGATCTGAGCGCGCGTAATTTTTTCGCTAGGGTTTGCAGAGTTTGAAATAAGGAGAGAGATTTCACGAGGAGGGAGAATTTTCCTTTTAGGGAAAACGTCATCATTTTGATTGGGTGAATTTTGTACATTAATCAAAAGTTCAGGGAGCAATTAGACATTTTACAATTTTCGTAGGGTGAATGCTGAAGTTACAAAAAAAGAGTACACCTTCAAATCTATACTATATTATAAAACATTTGACAAAAACCATTAAAAACCATTTTTTATGCGTAAAATACTATTTATTAATGCATATTATTTAAAACTCAAGATTGCAAGTAGATTGTGCGTAAGTACAACTTATGAAAGCTTCATATCTAAATTCGTGTAACTAACTGCAGATAAACATAATCAAATACAAAATAAGTATCTTATTTTAAATATAAAAAATCTAAAATATAATTAAGATAATCATTGATTTCTAACAAAATACTTTAGTTATTATTTTTATAAAAAAATTATATTATTAAACCTAAATTAAATTTATTTGTTACTAAACTTAAATTAAATTATAATTAAAAAATTTAATTAAGAAAATTACTCTAAAACATAAAAAAATTTAAAAATGTTAATTTGATATTGATATCGATATAAATTTTTTCCAAAATTTTATAATATTTTCAAATTTATATTTTATTCAAAAATAAAAAAATCATCGTTTTCTCAAAACCACATAAAACCGTATTATATCGACATAAAAAAGGCATAAAATGAAATACAGAAATGAAGATATATCTCGATGCATTGCACGAGTACCCTTCTAGTTAGATAAAATGTCTGCAAAGTCGTTTGATGTGTTTTTAATCGAATTCCGTTTTCAATGAATTTTTCAAGTTTTTTGTTTGATTTTAAGGGAGTTTTGTGGTTTTTTTGGTTTATTTTGAAAAACTTTTTTGGTTTTTTTAGTTGATTTCGAGGGACTTATTCGGGTTTTTTAGGTTCATTTCGTAAAATTTCTCAACTTTCGCCGTTTGATTCTCGTTATCCTTTTACCTTTTTAGTACTAAATATGATGTTCTGCAAATTAAAATTAAGTAATCAAATTTAAAGAACTCTGGATTGATTAAACAAATTAACATCAACAAAACAACAATTAAAGTTGAGAAAATTAACATCAAATTAACAAATATAAAGCAAATATATAAGCAAATCTGAGTTAGGGGCCATTTACCAAACGCTTACCCGAGTAAGCTCTTACCAAGTAATATTACCTCAACACATGAATATGATAAAAACCAAGAATCTTACCGAGTAAGAGCGAGACAAGGACCAAGAGTCTTACCCGGTAAGTGAGGGCGACGACTCTTACCACGGTAAGCGCTTAACAGGTAAATTTGCATACGATGTCGTTTTGGTGAACTCAAATCTTACCCTGTAAATAAATAGTAGTGTTAAATTTTACCGACAAACACTTACCAAGTAAGTATTTGGTAAACGGCCCGTTAGAGGTGTGGGCCAATGGATGTGATGTAACATATAAACAATCAAACATGTTGCAATAATCAAAAGGGCAACAAAAGTTTAAAAAAAAGGACTAATATCAAAATTTATTACCGGGTAAGAGCGATTAAAAAGGTGGAGAGTCTTATCCGGTAAGTGAAAGTTACGACTCTTACCCAGGTAAACGCTTATTCAGTAAATTGTTGCATTCAATACGTTTTGATGTACTAATATCTTACTCATCAAAATAAATTATAGCGTTGACTCCTATAGATAAGCACTTACCGGGTAAGCATTTGGGTAAACAACCTCTTAGATTGAGAGAAAACCTGAATGAGCGATTAAAAAAGTGACCGAGTGAGTGCGAGAGCGATGAGCAAAGAACGAGAGAGCTGGCTCGAGCGTGCGAGTCTGAGAGAACCGATCGTTGCGCAGAAGGTGAGACAATATTGTTGTTGTTTGTTTTAAAAATATGAACCCTCCATCTTTGTGTTTTTATTTAATTAGTGCATATTTCATAACTGATCACTTTGTGTCCTATGAGAGAAACATATTTTGCATTACGATTCATTTGGTCCCTTAATTTTTAAGTTTGTTGCACTTTTACCCTCTTAGTTCTTAAATATTGTTGAGCACCCATTAACTTTAGGAAAACTGACATGAAAATTGGAATGACGTTGGAAACAACTGTCACTTTCATTTTTTAGGGGTCGTTTACCAAACACTTACAAAGTCGCGTTATCTCACCGGATAAATATGGTAAGAACCAAAAATCTTACCCGATAAATAATTTTACTCGGTAAGAGAGAGACAAGGACCACGAGTCTTACCCGGTAAGTGAGGCCGACGACTCTTACCACAGTAAGAGCTTACCGGGTAAATTGTTGCATAGGATGTCATTTTGGTGAAACAAAATCTTACTCGATAAATAAATAATAGTGTTAAATTTTACCGATAAGCACTTATCGGCTAAGTGTTTGGTAAACGGGCCCTTAGATATATTTGAATCAAATAAAGAAAAGGAATGAGAAAGGAGGAGGAGAGTAAACATAAATAGCATTCATGACGACATTCAAATAAGTGACGGATTTGATGCAAAAAGTATGTGTTCATCCGTTGTTAGCAATTATTTACGAGGAGATATGTCATAATATCAATTATCAATTTAGAACATAAATGGGGCGTTGAGTACAACATATTAATAAAAATACCGAGTTTTTCATGTTTATGCGTGTGCAAACAGTTAAATCACAAATTTGGAACATGAACCGTAATGGAAAAGCACTCTAAGTGTTATTTGGCGCTCAATGTGTCGTAAAACAATTGTTTCAGGCAACATATACGATATAGCAAGCAACCTAGGGTCGCAGAGGCGTGGGTCAGAAAACGATGTGTGTAGCGAGCCACTTGTCATTACAATAGGTCGACACGACCTAGGGTGCGGTACGAGTCACGTAAAAGGTAAAGGATGTTATCGAGCCCATTGAAGCAAGGCCCACTCACGTAATAGATGATGTCTATTAAAGCGTGACACGTAAATGAGAGTTATTTTTTAAAAGATTTTGCATAGTCATGTTGTACTATTAACGCGAAAGAAACCAGTACAAAGTAATTAAGCATTATCATTAATGCGGTGTTTTTGATTGATTGGTTTGAGTTTGACTTCAAAAATCAAAAGTATCAGGAGGTCACATGTTCATATCCAAGAAGGAATAAAAATCCCTTTATGGCCACGGAGGTTGAAATTCGATAACTCCGGACTATCTGCAAACCAGATGGTCGTCCTGAAATTAGTCGGCTCGCATAAATATCCAGGTTAATAAAAAAAAAAAAAAACTTAAATAATAATAACCCTAAAAGATTATATTTTAACAAAACAAAATGATAATTATTACTACAGTTATTCTATCTCTTTGATGAATCTATCAAAAATGGTGCCTCTCTAAAAGAAAATAAACAAAAGCATGGCAAAGAGACCCAAAACCATCGGCGGAGCACCGGCGGCTGGAGGTGGTGCCGATGAATCCGACGGTGATAATGAATCCGATGGCGATGACGAAGGCGACGATGACGGTGGTTCATATGGTTTTATTTGGATATTGAACTTGCAAGGACCTTTGGATGGGTCCTTGTCGACTTCAATGGCTAACCCCCCGAAATGGCAGCTGGCTTTCGATTGGTTCGCTACTTGAAAGAACGAATTGAAAGCATACGACATTTTGTCAGCGAAATCGAGACCACTACACGATCCGCCATGAGAGACTGGGGTGCAGTCTGCACGGTCACAAGCATACAAAGCGCTCTCGTTGAGTTTCTTGTGGTCGGTCGGAGCGTCGTGATTCACGACGCACCACTTTTTCGGTTGATACTGGACGTGTTTCGCTCCCACGAGCGTCTTGTTCTTGTCTTTTCCGGCAAGGTCCATATGAAACTTCGGTTGACCTGCGTAATCGAAGATACCCCAGTGACGCTCGAAATCTCCGGGTAGTACGCTTTTTGCGTCTTCATCGAGGAGCCCGAAAAGGTACACTTCGATATGACCGTGGTGCAAAGGCGTTCCTTTGTGTTCCGCCAATCGTGGCAAGATCCCGTTATAGAATCTTGACGACAGGGACTTGTTGGCCCATCGATTGCCATCGGTGGGCCAACCAATCTCCCCAATCACAATAGACATGTTCCCATGACCAACCTGTTTCAAAGCCGATACACAAGTGTCGTAATTCGCGTCGAACACATTGTTGTACTCAACGTCGCCATCTTGGATGGTATAGTTACCGTCAAAAAACGCATATTCGATCGGAAAACCGTCGTCTGCTATCGCGAGGCTCAAAAACGGGTAGATATTGACGATAAACGGAGCGTTGTTTTTATGGAGAAACTCCACTATGTCTTCAACCTGATCGGAAACATCGGGACGGAAAATCCCGGCAGACGGAACTGGCTTCCACGCCGGGGACATGTAAACATCCCCATTGAACGGAACCGACGCCTTGATTTTATCTCCAAGCTTTGCTTCATCGAGGGACTTCTGGATATTCTGCAATGCCGGAAGCGTTGAATTCACATACTTGTCTTTATAATCCTTCAGGAACGGCTCGTTACCGATAGCCACACTCCTGCACAATGATAGATAATACGTTACCATATATTCCACGACCAAATGGTCATTGGCTCAGCGGTACACGGGTTTTGAGTGAATTCTAAGGAGATCGAGGCACTACGTTAAAATCGAGTTTATAGGAAGCCAAACAACTTTTAAGTGTCTTATATAACATTTTCTCAAAAGTGTCCTATAAAATTGGTAACGTGACCTTATACTAAAGGTGTCCTAAAAATTTGTTAAGACGCCTAAAACGTCTTATAAACTTCTTATAACGCTTTTATATATGACACTTTATTTTTCGATCTTATCGACTAAGTCTTTGTTGTAGTAAGGGTTCAAGCCCCAGAGAACGTGAAAAGTGTGTGTGACTACGTGAAAAGTGTGTGTGAGTTTTACTGTATATGAATATTATATTATCTGCATAATAAACAAAACAAAAGTGCGGTAAGAAGTCGTATTTTACGTTATATTGACTTTCTTCTCGACGTATTTGACAACGTTTTTCTTGACCCATTTCTCGGCGTTGCTCTTCTTGGTCAACGAATCGAGTTCGACGTTCTTGACAGCGACCATGACCTCGATACCTGTGTCGGCCAACGCGTCTAATACGATCCCATCGGCATCAAACAACTTGACCTTTTTAAGTCCATTGTCTTTCAACATTTGAACCACCGTGTCCGGTGGCAGTTGGTGGTTACACTTGGTGCCCCAATTCACACCCAACCCATCAACATTTGGACCAAAAAGGATGTACACAATTGCACTTATAAACAAGAGTTTTACCGTATCCGAAAGTTTTGCCATTTTCCGGCCGGCGGTGCCACCACCAGCACCGTCAGATTCAGAGAGTGGCCAAAAGATGTGAGTGAGATTGCGCGGCGGCGATCGGTGAAATTGGAATGGTGGTTAACAATGGTGACACTCGTTAAGCCTCTTTATATAAGAATTTTTACGCCTTTTTGTCACCAACACTTGCCCTTAAAATTTGGGACAAAGATCCAAAAATAATGCCTTCAGAAATAGTCCTACAAAGCCCTTCCAATTTAGGAATAAGTTTACTTTATGCTGTAGCAGTAGTTCTTCGTCCGCTGACGTGTAACGCAGTTGTCAAAGGGGTGAAGCGACTTTGTTTAAATACAAGATGGGTTATGTCGTCATGAGTTCGATTTCGGGCCCCTTGCTTACCTCAGTTGCAGGGACCCAAAAGATTCCCCTCGCATTGGTGTTTTTTTTTATTAACCTGGATATTCGACCCGCTATGCGAGCCGACTAATCCCAGGGTTCCCATTTGTTTTGCAGGTAGGCCGGAGTCACCGCATTTGAACCTTCGTGGCCACAAGTGGATTTTTGTTTTTCCTTGGATTTAAACCTGGGACCTCCAGACACTTTTGACCTTTGGAGCCCAAGTTAAAACTAATCAGGCACCACTCATGTGGTTAACACATTGGTGTCCTTTCGAAATGGGTTATGTGTAAAATCAATTGAGGTTGTTAGTAATCAACCTTTTGAGATTGGTGAGAAAGTCAACATTAATTAAATAAATTCAAAATAAACTAGAAAGATACTCGCGCAATGGAGCGACATAAATCTCAATCTTAATGTTTAGTTTTTATTATCTGTCTCTATCGATATAATACGATTTTATGTGGTTTTCAGCAAACGATAATGTTTTTATTTTTGAATGAAATATGCATTTGAAGAACATAAAATTTTGAAAAACAATAAATCGATATTAGTATCGAATTAACTATCTAATAATTGTCGTTTTTTGTTGTAACTTCTTTAATTCAATTTTTTATTATAATTTGATTTAAATTTAATAACAAAAGTAAGTTATTTTTAATTTAATAATAATATTTTTTTTATAAAGATAATAAAAATAGCCATCAAATACAGCGAAAAAGAGCCAAAATGGGTGTAAAACAATCACATTTCATAAAAAAGTTCTGATAAACGAATGTATCGTCAATTCGTAAATCACCAATGCTGCTATCTCTCAAAATGACAATAACTTGCGTTATCTACACCAACAATCAAACCTACAACAACAAAAACACGAGAATAAGCGAGTATACGAAAAGATGAACCGAAGAACGAGAAGCCGACGATGAGTACGTCCCGACTATCTGAATGTTAAACGCACAGGTCTCGGTCGAGATATTTAGTGTCGTCACCATTGCCAAACCTTGAAAATTACACGCCATTTCGTCTTGATTTTGCACCTGAAAGTACGCATTAAATGCATACGAAGCATTCGCATTTGCATCCAACCCGTTACACGACGAACCGTACCCGAGCGGTGTACAATCGGCAAATGTACAAGCGTAATTAATATTCTCCCCGAGTTTGCTCAAATCTTTTGCGTCCGGGTTGAATTGGCACCACCGTTTCTCTTGGTAACGCACGTTTTGGGCCGGTACCAAAAACGAGTTTTGTCCTCGACCCGATATATCCATCGCAAACTTCGGTTGCCCGTCATATCGGAATATTCCCCAATGTCGTTCAAAGCTTCCCGGAGCAATACTCTTAGCATCCTCATCAATAAGCCCGAAGAGATAAACTTCTATCGAGCCGGGCCTTAGTGGGGTCCCTTTGTTGGAGGTGAGTCGAGGTAAAAGCCCGTTATAGAATCTATACGCCATGTTAATGTTGGCGTTTTTATCCCCATCGGTGGGCCACCCAACCTCTCCGACAATAATCGGCATATCAGCATGGCCCGCCGCCTTCAAAGACGAGACCAAGGTATCGTAATTGGCGTCAAACACATTTGTGTACTGAATCCCGTTATCGACAATCGGTTGGCTTACGCCGTCAAAGAAAGCGTAATCAACCGGGAAATTGTCGTTGCCGTAAAGACTCAGAAACGGGTATATATTGACCGTAAAGGGCGCATTGTTTTGGGCGAGGAAATCTACGAGTTGGGTCATTTGATCATTGATATCAGCCCGGAACCTCCCGGCCGAAGGGACCGGACTGTCGACCGGAGAACCGTAAACATCTGCATTCGAAGGTACAGTAGCCTTGATGACATCACCAACTCCCGCTTCGTTCAGGGCATTCTGGATATTCTGGAGTGCCGGGAACGTTGTTTTCATAAACGAGCCGTTGTATGCTTTCAAGAACGGCTCGTTGCCAACAGCAACATATCTGTCACAAAAGAAAACCGGAGTTCCAAATTAAAAAAAAAAAAAAAACTATACGCAAATGTGTACAAGGATCCATATTTACGTAAAGATTTTTTTAAATCTGAGATAGATTTTACGCAAATACCCAAGAGCGGGTCCAGCCTTTAAGCATCGGGAAGAAAGGCTCCCAGTCAAAAATCAAAAACTTTTGTTGACTAGCTTAAATTTTCTATTTTCACCATGATTTTACATGGTTTCCTTCCAGTCCCATTAATTTCCTGGATCCACCACTAAAAATACCTCCGATTAAAATAAGAATTTGGTTTTTATAAAAATATTAAAATAATAATAATAATAATAATAATAATAATAATAATAATAATAAAAAGCTACAAGCTGCTGAGATCCAAATATTTTGGGAAGTTGCTTAAAGCAACAATAAACACGTACATATGCTTCGCATAAAATATCCCAAATGGGGTTGGATGAAACGTACAACATGCAATGCACAGAGTACAACTCACAAGTGTGGCAACGGCTTTTCATATACTCCAATGAACACTCAAAAAAATAAAAATAAAATAGATTTTGGAGTTTTAATCTCAAAAAATTTCTTTAAAAAATCTTTTTTTTATTAACCCAGATATTCAACCCGTTATACGAGCCGACTAATTTCAGAACGACCACTAGCCCAAAGTCATTGCATTTAGACCTCCGTGGCCATTAGTGAATTTTTATTTCTTTTTGGATTTGAACGTGAGACCTCCAGACAACTTTGACCTTTGGAGTCAAAACTCAAACCAATAAGGCACCATACTTATAGAAAAAAAAAAGTTCTTTTAAGAACCATACTTTTGCATTTTTTATTTTTTTCACTTAGTATCAAACTTTTATAGTGTTCTGCTATGAATATTCGGTTTTTTTTAACCTTCAGAGGTGTTTGAGATTGCTTATAAAAACAACTTATTGACTTATTCTGGTATGACACCGCTAATAAGCACTTTTGAGTGTTTGGACAACAACTTAGTCTGATGTCAAACCGATAATAAAAAGTTTTTGAATAAGTTAAACTCGTCTGACTTATAATAAATTGATAAGTGTTTTTATATAAAAAAAACATAAGTTGTTTTAAATAAAGAATCTCAAACACTCAAAAGTTTTCCTTTGAAATGTATCACACGGTTTCATTAAAAAACGAGTTAAACTTTATACGATCCCTTTTATTTTTTAATAATAGATAATTAAACTTTTTTATTTTAAATAATTAATTCTATTTTCTTTTAAAATAAATAAACTATTAAATTTTACCGTTATAAACGTACAACTACCTAAAGCACCAATCCTTTCGCCACACTTGGCCACAAAACTCTCCACGTAGTTAGGCTTTTTCTAGAACGAAAATGAAATCCAACGTACAACTTCCAATGCATCAAGTACAATTCATCATAGACCTAAATCATTGACTAAATTACGCTTTTCGTCCCTATGGTTTCTTAAAATTACGATTGTCATCCCTATGGTTTAGAAATTTTAAATTTTTATTGTAATTATTTTGAGTTTTTTTTTTAATATTATCTTTTATTGTATGGTACAACTTCCTAAAGCACAAATTCCCAAAACCCCAATATTTCCACTTCCCAAACAACGTACAACAAACAAAGCACAACGTACAACACCCAAATATTCCACCTCGAGAACCAAAATCCAATTCTTCAAGAACAGAAACGAATCCAAAAGCATATCAAATCGAAAACTTACTTGATCTTAACACCGCCATTGAAATTAAATCTGGTAACATTACGCTGCACGAATTTCTTAGCTCGACCGTAATCGTTCATGGCGAGCAACTGATCGTTAGGAATCGCAATCATAACTTCGATGCCGGAGCCGGCGAGTGCACTCATCGTCGATTGCTCGGCGTCAAACAATTTCACTTTATTAATCCCGTTATCTTTCAACATCTGAACCACAGTTTTCGGATCCAGCTTATGGGTAGCCATCGTCCCCCAGTTCACACCAATCCCTTCAACTTCTGACCAAAGCAGAAACAGGCCCCCCAACAATACCCAAACGACAGTTTCCACCCCCGACATTATTTGATTGAATTTGAAACAGCCGGGAATCTCGACTGAATGCAAATCAGATCTTTTGGGTGTTATTTTTTCAACAAAAAAATTGGGGGTTTTTAAAAATTGAAGCCGATGAAGACGAAAAGTGGGGATTACAGTGCTTGAGATTGAAGATATAAGCTGCAAAAATGGCAGTTGAGAAGTGAGACAAAAAGGGATCGAAAATCGGCGATTTTTTCTGGGGGATTTCTTCAAGAAGAAAAAGGGAGATCGTGGAGCTCTGTGTGTGTGTATATTATATATATCGAATGTATAAAAGTCGGCAAATCTTGAGGTGAAATCGGTGCGTGTGTGTGTGTGTGTGTGTGTGAAAAAGGAGAAGAGAAGGAGAAGAAGTGATTCTCAACGAGGAGTGGAGAGGAAAGTAGTGAATGTTTTAAAAAGGTGAAGAACTTGAAATTTTTTAAAAAAGGAACGTTATTTGATTTTTGTTTAATTTGCAGAAAATAATATAAAAAATGGAGATATTAATTTATTTTTATTAATTAAAGTATTTAATAGGGTGTTTCGAGTTTGAAATTTATTTGTTTAATAAATTAATTAATTAATTTAGGTTTATAATTAAATTTTTTTCCTTTTTTAGCATGTGAATGGTTTTTTTTAATGCATAAAATTTATTAGAAGCAACGTTTTGCAAGACAAATATGAAAAAATATAAAATAAATTGATCAAAATAGTCAATTTCTTCCATTAAAAGGGTGTTTGAGATTGTTTATAAAAACAACTTATTGACTTCTTGGGGTGTGACACCGGTAATAAACACTTTTGAATGTTTGAATAAACAATTTATACCGGTGTCAAGCTGGTAATAAAGAGTTTTTGATGAAGTTAAATCATTCTAACTTATAATAAGTTGATAAAGATTTTTTAGAAAAGTATAAGTTATTTCAAATAAGTCATTTCAAATACCCTTTTTTTTAATTATATTCTATTTTTGTCAAACTTTATTTAGACGTTCATTTACATAAAGCTTAATTTCAGATTATTAAAAAAAAATATTTACTCAAATTTGTATAAAGAATTTACGTAAAGATTTTTATTTTTGTAAAAAATAAATATTTAATCCAGAAATGTATTTATACAAATGCCTTGAACATTGGCTAAAATAAAGTATTGATATTAAAATCTGTTAAAAAATAAATTTAATTGAAAAGATCGAATATTTTAATTAATTTTTTATATTAAAAAAAACTAAAAACCCAACTCAAATATGTGAATGGTATTCGATTTTGTTTGATGATTATTTTAATATCGTTTAGAAAGAATTCGAAGGCATTAAATTTGGATGACATTAAAAATATTATTTTTTCAATAATGGAAAGAAGTTTTTAAGATTATCATTTGGGTAGATCCTTTTCAGTTTAAAATTTAATAATGATAATGGGTTATTTGTTAGTTGTTGAATCGTTTGATGCAGAATGATCAAGTAGTCAGAATGATTAAGAGACTCTTATAATATAGTGCAAAATGAAATATAATCGTTTGATAATTGTTTACAATGATATTAGGACGCTGAATGATCAATGAGGCTTACGATAAGGACGGACTTATAACTTTTTTCAAACGGTGGCACCATTTGACCATAAGAAAAAAATATAGTGAAATTTTTTTAATTTGTGATACCGTTTGATTATAAGAAACAAATATACGGAATTTTTTTTCAAACGGTGGTACCATTTGACCAATAAAATGATACTGACAGGATTCAAACTGGGTCTAGGGTGGAATAAAAGCTTTGCAAACCAACTCTACCAAATAAAACTTGTTTTCGTTGTAGTTTTAAAATACATACGGTGACACACAACAAATTAATACGATTATACCGTTACGAACCTAATTTTTTTTACCTTTTCGGGGAGAAATAATACGGTGACATGTGTCACCTATACCACATAGCTGGTTCCGTCCCTGGCCTACTACACAAAATTATTCATATTATTTTAAAATCATTATGAGACGGGTTTTTTTTTGTCAAACAATATTCATCTTTTAACGATTCAGATGTTGCCTCTTAATTGAACTATTAAGAGGTAAACAAACAACCCCTAAAATATTCATAATATTGATTATAATTTTTTTATTAAAAATATATTTCATTAATCAAGTAATATGGTGCAATTTATTTTTATACCAATAAATATGTAATATACTGTTATCAATATACATGAAAAATACGATGTATAAAAAAGAGTACTGGTGTTGAACTTGGTAGATGAGGGATATTAATACACAAGCAGTAAAAAAACGGTTTTAAAACATTGGATAAAAATTCGGTTGCATTTATCAGATGTATATATTGTAAAAGCACGTGGATAAATAGAACAGCTTTTTCTAAAAAAAAATATAAACAATTTTCCGGCGGATTTCCGGCGGATAATTAAAAAATTTATTTAAAAGAGAAATAAATAATTTTTCTAAAAAAAAATATAAACCTCATCAAATGCCTCTAAACATGACAACTTAATGGTCAAAATGTGTCGATGCTTTTCAAACCTGTTTAAGCTAACGTACATAATTTACAAGTTGAAAGACGTTTTATATTTGTCCTTTTATATCTCCCCGAACTTTTAGATAAGCAGTGTTGGTACGTGTTACATCTTGAACGAAGGTAAGACACGTACCACAATCACGAGGACGTCATTGTTCAAGAGGTGATATAATCGATTCGACATGATGATTTCAGATGTGCTGAAAACTAATATTCTCGAGACTTGTTTGTTTGACTTGAAATCCTTTTAAAATCGACGTTTATGTTTTACGAGGAACAATAACCTAAAATCAATGTTCTCGAGACCAATGTTATAATACGAAAAAATTGCATACCAATGTTTAGGTTTGTACGATTACGTGTCTATCATGGTAATCGTATACTCAATATCGTAATGACACGTAATACTCGAGCAAAATAAAAGGTCAATGAAATGCTTCTATTACATTCTTAAATTCAACATCGTATTTAATTTTACGAATCGATTAAGAATTATACTTCACATATAAGTATAAAATACTCGTTTTTTAAAAGTAAATTTAATAGTCCCGACATAAAAACACGAAAGCGTGCCAATACGATATACGTATTGCGTGAAAAAAAATTAAATTTTCTAAAAATGTCATCAAAATGGGTTTTTAGGTATTTTTTTGGAGACATTTATGTTTTTTGTTTGCAATTTTTTAAAATAGAAATAGAAATGTATTTATTTTTGACAACACATTTAGAAATGTTTGATGATTGTTTCTTTCAACAAAATACAATGGAATTCTAAAATAAGAAATAAAGTATTTTGAATTTTAAAGATCTGTTTGGTTTGCAGGATTATTTTTTAGAGATTTGGATTTGAAGGGATTTGAAATCATTGGTGTGTTTGGTTTCTAAGATCTGAAATAAAATTTGATTTCGTTATTTATATAAGAAAATATAAAAATAATTATATTATATTTTTTATCAATTGATTATTATAAAACAAATATTTTTAGCATTTTTAGAACCTTCTTGCATGCAATTGTACAAAATGCCTTCAAATCCCAAGCACCAATTTCAAAATCCTATGTTTATATGATTTCTATCAAATCATAGGATTTCAAATCCAGACAATCTAACAAACCAAACATAAGATTGAAATAAATTTGAAATTCAAATCCCTTCTCATTTTATTCATGCAAACCAAACGAGACCTAATACTATTTGTTTGTAAAGCATAGAAGTAACAAAGTCATGTTTATAATTTTTTTTAAAAGATTAAACATAATAAAAAACAATATAATTTCATATGTTTTTAACTGTAAAATTGTATTTTTATTATCATTATTAAACAATGTATTTTAAATTTATTTTTTTATCATTCATTATAACAATGGGTAATCTGTTATTTTTAAACGAGTAACAAGCAACGCCTATTACTTTTTAAACGGGTAACCGCACATTTTTTTCTTTTTGCTTTCTTGACTTATTTGACATGATGTAACTAACATGTCAACTCTAATTACGTGGCATAAATAAAATATACTACAAGGGGTCTTGCTTGAAAAAATAAATTCTCACGTCATGGTGCGCCCGAATAAAAATCATAATACCTTATTTTAAGGACACCAATGTGAAAAGACGTTTTTTTTTTTTGCTTAATCAACGGCTGAGATTAGCAGGGACCCGAGGATCAAATCTGATACCTGCTTTGTAGCAAAGTCACCCTTTTTTACTAATTGGACTACACGCCCGAAGCTTGAAGATATTATAAGCACGTAAAAACCTAAAATAGTCAAATTGTCCATGACTGAATTTAATTTTGCAAATTTGAAAACAATAAACGGATTATAGAATAAATGATAACAACACGTATCATGTTCAAAATGTTCGTCCATATATGGATGGTGCACGCCAGTTGTGATGCATTGAGGCCAAAATACAATACTCATGATAGTCAGATTTTAAGTATGATTTAGGTGCAGACAGTATATCATCATATAAATATTTACGATGGTTAAGTTTATAATTTTTTTAAGTATATAACATTTAATATACAGTAAATATAACAAATAAACCCACACATGCTCTTCACATTTGGTGAGGTTTGAACTCCTAACCCCCTAGGAAATCAAGGACTATGTACCGCTAGACCAAGTACTATAATTTTTAGTTTTAGTTGTTTGACAATTTATAAAATACAGAACTCTTTTAGAAGTTAAGCTTTGAACAGACTCGTTAGTAAAACATATGAGGGCATTGTTTGGTTGGAGGTATTAAAAAGTAACCAATAAGAATGAAAATAAAGGAAACCATTTAGTTTCATATAATATAATGGGTTCATTCCCTTAGAAGTCCAAAATTCCATTTACCTTTTTATTCTCAATCATTTTCATTCCTCATAAAACAAATAAATATTATGGTATTTTTTTTATTAACCTGAATATTCAACCAGCTATGTAAGCCGACTAATTCCAGTACGACCACCTGCTTTGCAGGTAGCTCGAAGTCACAACATTTGAACCTCCATAGCTATAAGGGATTTTTGTTCCTCATTAGATTTGAATTATTATTATTATTATTATTTTCTTAAATAATAATTTGTGATGTTTAAGTACTAACAATAATGAAATTAAAAACAAAATAATTGGATTTGTAACGGCTAGTTTGATATTAGATTCCCACGTGACCTCTTTGAACATAACACGTGTTCGCAGCCTTCACATCAGTTGTCGACTAACTGTTTTTTTCTTTTCAAATTATATGTAATTAAAAAAAATTA